CACACACACACACACACACCTGATGTCAGTCCAAAGGGATGAGGTCTCATACCTGGAAAAGGAGCAGCGAACACGATCCCAGCAGCTCCATCACTGGTGGTGTCAGGACTGAAGCGGTCCGCCAGCAGACACACTGAGCAGGAGGGAAGAGCTTCAGAGATGCAGACAGCAGTGGAGAACCCCACCACACCGCCTCCAACAACCACAACCCGGACAGACCTCATGCTGGACCTGGACCAGCTGAACCACAACCTCTGATGTGGCTTTTTCCCACTACAAGCTGTTTCATAACAAATGACACGATAACAGGATCAAAGTCCGTCTTAAAATGACTGTCGTGTTAAAGTTGTGTATTTATTAGACACACACTCATGACAGCTGCTGTAGAAACAGGTCGATCAAAGAACAAACTTATTTCACAACGTTAAAGAAAGCGTTTAAACGCAATATGTCTTCACAAAGTGCAAACCTTATGCAGCCTATGAAGAATCCGCTCGGTGCAGGTCCTGAAGAATCTCAATAAATCTCCAGAATTTCACAAAATATAGAAAAATACAATTAAATTTACTCAAGAGAAATCCATATAAATCGTTTTTCCAAGTATCAAACACCGCAGATGTTGTGTATAAACATTTAAAGCCTTTATACTGCAGCGAAATGAAACCGTAGATCTACAAATCATCCTCCGGTCTCCAAGCCTATAACCCTCTGCGGAACAGCATGTGTAGATCAGTTCACATCAGATCTCGCTCATGTTCTGATCTCGCGTTAAACAACGAGCGTTCACGCCCTCCGTCCGACTGAAGGGAAGGTAAGGTCCTGTAAGCTCGCTACTTTTATTTATACTCCGCCGTGTGTCCTTTCAGGACTCTGCGTGTCGTTACAGATCGTTTGAGGAACGCGGTTCCATATACAGTCATATATTACTGTCATAGCTAACGAGTCAACGGAAATACACAGTCCGGCTGGAAACGATTAGCTTAGTTGCTAATTTTACATTCTTGTTGTTGCCCGCTGTAAAGCAGAAGGGTTATCATGTTTTGTGCCTGTGGGTGTGCACGTGCTTTGTTTACTTGTACTGGTGGCAAAATATCTCATCCGCCACTAAACAAATTTTCAATGAAACTCATAGGAAACAATATCTTAATTGATAAACTTCTGATCAATCAAGAAGATGGCCGCCACGTCTTTTAGACTGGTGTCAAGCCAGCCTGCAGTCGATTTTGTGGTGTGGGAAAACACGTAACATTATACTGGACCAGCTGGAACCCGTTTCAAAATAAAAGCCCGATAAAAACAAAACAAAAAAGTGCTGTTTTATTTAGCAATAAAATAAAATTGTATATAAAATGTGTATGTATAAAGGCATCAAACTCAAATAACTTTAAAAACTAAAAAAACATTTTATTCTAAATAATAATAAACAAAATTGTTTAAATGAAATGAGTGTATTAAAATTGTTAAACAATAAGACAATATTGTATTTTCCCAAAAAAAAAATACAGTGGGTGAAAGTGGAGGATGTGGTTTTCTTTATTCAGTCATATTCGAGTACAAATGGGAAAATACAACATTGCCTTATTGTTTAACAATTTTAATATACTTAACTCATATAAACAGTTTTGTTTATTATAATTTATAATAAAATGTTTTTTGGTTCTTAAAGTTATTTGAGTTTTGTGCCTTTATACATACACATTTTATATACAATTTTGTTTTATTGCTAAATAAAACAACGTTTTTTTATTATTATCAAGCTTCTATTTTGAAACGGGTTCCAAACGCTGGTACCATAATGTTATGTGTTACCATAATGTTATGTGTTACCATAATGTTATGTGTTACCATAATGTTATGTGTTACCATAATGTTATGTGTTACCATAATGTTATGTGTTACC